TTAAGTGGAGCTTAACTAAATTAGCAAAGTGGTGTAGGGTATCATAAAATCGGCCCCGCCCGACTTTAGGACTTTCTTTACTGGTTTTTTACTTCATAACGCAACTGTAGTGTTTTAAGGTACCACTTGGTCGCCACGTCTGCCTATGTCCCTTTCTACTATTACTATTTCTATTAAGTTGAAATATTTTAAGAACTATTAGAATTTTTAAAATAGTTACATACTTATCCAACATTTATATTCGCGATACGCACAACTACATTGTTGAAAAAAAGTTGTTGGCCCTTTAAAGATACAGACTTCAAACTGATGATGCGGTCTGGATTGCTACTGCAACCACCCAAATGTGTCGTCCCATTTGAATTATTTCAATATTTTAGTTTTAAGTGGCTTTTATGGAAAATTGAAATTCAACCTAATTGCGGCAAATTTGTAACCATCACTCCCTGCCAGACTTGGCCTCCATTGTTTGTCGTTATGCATTGTTTGCGATAGACTTTTTTCCCATTTCAGCCCTGATGCTTTAGCATCTTTTGTTGTGGTCTTCCTTACTCAAATCATTCAAATCCGCATTATGGGGTTGCAAAGGGAGGACAACCGATTGTAAGTATCACAACTAGGATATGGTGGGTAGGGGGTATGGGGTGACTGTTTACATTTTGAGATGATTTAAAAAATATCAAATATTTTTTGTCATTCATAAATCTTTCGAAACTCTCATAATTCATCGGGCTTCAAAAGTTTTGTTACACATTTTCGTTTTGCTTTTCGCTTGTATACGCCTTCTCAGGTTTCTATACTTTTGTATTGTTGTTGTTATTGTTTTGTTTGCGGATTTATTCGCTCCCTTTGGTTAATTTCTTTGATAAGCGTTAACATCCTTTCTCCGTTAGTGAGGTTACCGTAGCTTGCGCCATGCAATCCTCTTGAGGATTACGAAATTTCAAGCATGCAGAAACGGAGCAGGATTTTGTATATCGATGAAATGGAAACGAAGGCGGAACCCTTTCTACATTTTTCAAATTCAATTCGTCTTGGAAAGTTTTTGATCGCTTTATAATTTGTAGGCAAAAGAGCTTTTAAAATGATTGCTTTTTAATTGGCTGGCAGACAATTAACGTGTAATATTAGCTGGTTTCAAATCTTGCTAGAATTTGCAGGCCCTCCATGCAATTTAGAATGGAGAATGAAATGTAAATTGGTTTATATGCGAAGGGTTTGATCTGATAGTTAGCTTGATGTTGGTTTTGCAAGGTGCCTAATATTTTTCTTCATGCTCGAATTAACCGAAGACGTTTTCTCTTCAATTATAAAAATGACAATATTTGAAAGTTCTGCTATCTGAAGAATTGGAAAGACCTTCTATTGAGTGGACTACAAAATCTTGATTCAATAACTTATAGCCTGCTATGTCTTGCGGATAAGTTGCTTGTTCCGTTGTTTACACTTTGCCTCCGAACAACAACAACAAAAATGATTAGTTTCCTTACAGACACTCACCAAAGAGAATTAACACTTATTTTTATACCCTCCACCATAGTATGGAGTTTGACATTCCGTTTGTAACACCTCGAAGTATGCATTTTAGACCCCACAAAAATATATTCTTGATCAGCATATAATTCTATGTTGATTTAACGATAACCGTCCGTCTATCTGTCCGTCTGTGGAAATCACTCTAGCTTCCGATCGAATTGAAGTAGGTTGAGAAAATGTTACTCAAATGTGCAGAACTTTTTTAAGGTATTGAAAATGGGCTATATAGTTCCACGTTCAAGTATAGCCTCCATATAACTGTACCTCCCTATATTCGGCATTTTGTTGTTTTTGGCGATATTGTTCACCGGAATTGTTTCAAATTTCGTCTTGATTGTTCGTAATGGGTACTACAGCCTTTGACAGAAAATTGGCTATGCAGATCCATGTCTTCGTATAACACCCATATAACGGTACTTCCCTATATTCGGTATTTTGATGATTTAAGCGACATTATTTACCGGAATTGTTTCATATTTCGTGTTTGAATTTCCTAATAGGTACTACAGTCTATGACAGAAAATTGTTTATTCAGGTCCACGTCGTCGTTTTGCCCCTAATATCGATACCTCCCGATATTCGTTATTCTGATGATTTTTGTTCACGGGAATTGTTTCAAATTTCGTATTTGTAGTTCCTAGTGAGAACTATAGCCTGTGACAAAAAGTGTCTAAGCAGGACTTCCTATAGCCCCTAAATATCCCTATATTCGGTATTTTGGTTTGAGTTTGGTTGAGTTTAGAGGAATCGTATTAGCTCTTCGTAAAGGGTACTGCAGCCAGTGACAAAAAATTGCAGGTCCACGTCTTCGGATAGACCCCAAAATAACGGTAACACTCTATATAAATGGTATATTTAAGATTTTAACAGAATTTAAAACGTATTTTATTACACCCTCCACCATACATAGTATGTAGGGTATATTAAGTTCGTCATTCCGTTTGTAACTCATCGAAATAATCATTTTAGACCCAACAAAGTGTATATATTCTTGATCAGCGTAAAATTCTAAGATGATTTAGCCCTGTCCGTCCGTCCGTTGTAATCACGTCTAAAAGAATTAAGATAGGAAGCTAAAATTTTGCACAGATCTCTCTTTTGTCTGCAGGAAGGTCAAGTTCGAAGATGGGTTATATCGGTCCACGATATCGTATAGCCCCCATATAACGGTACCCCCGATATTCGGTATTTTGACGATGTTAGTCACATTTTCAATGGAATTGTCTTAAAATCCACACAAGTAGTTCCTTGTGAGTACTTTACCTCCTGAGAGAGAATTGTCTATATAGGTCCACGATATCGAATATCCCCCATATAACGGTACCCCCGATATTCGGTATTTTGATGATTTAACCCACATTTCTCAACGGAATTGTCTGAAAATCCACACAAGGAGTTCCTTGCGGGAAGTTCTCGGCAGAGAACTATCTATATAGGTCCACGATATCGTATAGCCCCCATATAACCTCACCCCCGATATTCGGTATTTTCATGATTTTAGCCACATTTTTCAACGGAATGGTCCGAAATTGTACATAAGGGGTTCTTTGTGAGCACTTTACCCACCGACAGAGAATTTTCTACATAGGTTAACGATATCGTATATCACCCATATAACGGTACCCCCCGATATTCGGTATTTTGATAACTTTACCCACATTTTTCAACGGAATTGTTTGAAAATTCACACAAGAAGTTCCTTATGGGTACTTCATACTTCGGCAGAGAATTATCTATATAGGTCCTCGATATCGTATAGCCCCCATATAACGGTGCCTCCCGATATTCGGTATTTTTATGATTTTAGCGACATTATTCACCGGAATTGTTTCAAATTTCGCATGTGAAGTTCGTAATGGATACTTCAGCCCATGCCAGAAAATTGTCTGTGCAGGTCAACGTCTTCGTATAGGCCCCATATAACGGTACCCCCCCCCCCCCATATTCGGTATTTTGATGATTTTAGCTACATTATAAACAGATTTTTCTTCAAGTCTCGCATTTAAATATTGTAATAACTTATGACAAAAGTTGCCTATGCAGGCCCACGTCGTCGTATAAGCATTCGGTATTTTTAAGATTTTAACAGAATTTTTAACGGATTTTTTTTTTTTTTTTTTTGGAAATTGGCAAATTTGTGCCAAATGCTGGAGGGTATTAAAAGTTCGGCCCGGCCGAACTTACAGCTTTTTTACTTGTTTCAGATATAATTGGTTTTTTTGATGGCTTACGGGCTTGCAGACCAACTGCACTACTCGTCTACGCACTCATCTCGAGCTTATATCCAATGATATATCAGAAAACCCACTTAGTATACGAGAAATCACAGAAATATTTATGAAATATTTCTCGAAAATCATTTTCTGCGATAGCTTGCTTGTTTTCATAGTCACTGATAAGCTTTTTGGGCAGTACTTAAAAAACGGAAACAAACACGTGCTTTTGTAAAAAACTTCTCAAAAAAGAGTTATGACAAGCGAAATTGTTGAAGGAAACAAAAAGCGATAAATATAGCAGTAAAACAACTGAAATTGCAGCGATCATAAAAATGTACAACAGAGTTACTTTTATTTTGTCCAAGCCAAAATCAGGTTAATTGGCTTTACCATACCTTATTTTTTATAAAAAAAATTAAATCGGGTTTTTTGTTTTAAGTTTTTAAAAAATGAATAAAGTGACTAATTTAAAACTAGACAAACTTTCCATTTTCTTAATTTTTAAAAAAGTTACATGGCATTCATTCTCCTTGTAAATTCAACAGACAGGCAGACTGATCTCGCTAATTCGACTTAGAATTTTACGCTGATCAAGAATATATATACTTTGTTGGGTCTGACATGAGTATTTCGAGGAGTTACAAACGGAATGACAAAGTTAATATACCCTCCATAGTATGGTGGAGTGTATAAAAAGGAATTATGTTATTATGAATTACGAATCATGCCGTATGAACGGGTTCATTTGTGTACCTAATTTGCAGAGCGAACAGCGTGATTGAAATTGCAATGAGAACATAGCATAAGTCGAACAATCGACTATGAATAGTCGAGAACTCAGTTTCGCCCAAGTCAATAGTCGAGTTTGATAGCATTTGGAAAAACGATAGTAGCAGCTAGTTCCGCGCTCTTTAGTGAAGATGTTCAATTTTCTCATGTCTCATTCGTAAACAACAGAGTACCCGGGCGTTATGCATTACACTCATTCGTAAACAACAGAGTACCCGGAGTCTTTGCTTTCTGTTTATTTTTTATCAAGTATTGCTTTTTGGCCTTTATATTCGCTTCGTTGGGACGTTAGTTACTTGCATGGTACAATGAAGAGAAGGTAGGTAATTTTGAAAAAATTGCAGTATAGAGGTCTACCTGTATGGCTTGTAATGTCAGAAATAGTATCAAAACAATAACAAAATCAACAAAATCAAACAACTTGTTGCATTTATTTTGAATAAATAATTGAAAAACGCGATAACTGAATGAAAGGTCAACACTTCTTTTCAAAATCGTGTACTATATATCCTATATATCTCTAAAGGATTATTTCGCTACAAAAACTCTAGATTTTGTGATGCATACGTTGAAATAAACATTTTGAAAACACCCGAATTTGAATATTTTCTGAACAATTTTTTTATTATAGAAAAGAAAACACACATAAGCAAATAAGGATGACATATTAAGCCAAGAAAATAAAAAAAAATATATCATATGGTATCATAGCCCTACCTTGATATCATAGTACCATGGTTACTTGTTATTTTTTGAAAACAATAAATTTGTTTATCCAAATAAGAATTTGTGACAGGAAGAACTGCTTGGAAAATCCTAATTGAACGGTCGCAAAAATGTCTTTGAGTCTGGAAGAAATTTGCATCAAATTGCAATCCAACGAGAGAAGGGTGAAATTGGGAGCTCTGGAAGATTTGCAAATGAAATGCCGAAATCGCCAGGAATTCAGTGATGACAATATCATGGAAATTTATGATGAGTGTTATCTGCACTTGCTGAAATGTTACAGCGACAAATACGAAAGTGTCCGGGACCAATCAGTGGAAACTGTTAACGAGTTTATGGAACGATTACCGCCAAATGACTTCCACTTGCTTAACATTGTATCGAGTTTGGCCGAACGTTTGGGGCAACAGGAAACGGTGGAAGAAAGTGAAGAAATTCGCCTGAGTTTTGTAAAACAATTGAACAAACAGGTCGAGCGATATATTCAGACGGGCAACAAATGTTCCATTCAAGGTTGTGTGGATGATATCGTTAGAATTTTAATAAAAGTTCTCAAAGATCCCTATCCCGCTGTTCAGAGGGAGGCATGCCGATGTGTGACACTGCTTGCGTCTTCGATTGATAGTCATTATTTTCGAAATCACTCTGAGTCACTAGCAAAAGCACTTTATGGAATGTTAAATCACAAACATTCTCAGGCTCGTATAGCTGCCGTGAATGCTTTGGGCTATGTAGCTTTGCACATTGATGCTGGCGAAGCCTTGTCGCGATTGTTAATGGAAGTTTCTCCATTGCTTATGGACTCAATGCCCTTAGTTCGGCGCGAATGTGGTGAACTGGGAATCAGGCTTTTGCTAGAGCTGCGGGATCGGTACTCATATTTCGAGAGGCTAATACCTTTGGTGCTCTGCTGGTAAGACATTTGATATATTAAAATATAATTGATATATAAAAATAATATATAATTTGGTACATAAAAATAATATAATATTTCCTTTAAATTGATTAATGATTTAAAAAAGATTGACTAACTCCTTACGATTTCAGCCTTAAAGACGAATCGCCTGAAGTACGTGAATACATATTGCCTCTATGGGTAAAGTGTGGAAAACAGTACTACGATGAAAATGAAGCAGAATTAAGTAAGCAAGAAATCGCCGATTTACCCCCAGCCAACTATCCGGTGGATATAAAACGTCCGACTATTGGTTGCCGTGCTATTGTTCAAAGGTCCTTGCGTCTGCTAAATTTGATAACTCGAGAATCATCTGATTGGAAAGAAAATGTTCGCCTACATTCGCTTAAATTATTATATCAATTTGTATTGCATGCCGAAGCTGCAATGACTGCGAAATTTTTTGAAATTTATCCAGATGTAGCAAGAGCGTGCCGCGATAATGAACATATTGTGGCGCAGGAAGCCTGCAATCTTGCCGACTTGATGGGTCGTCTGTTGAACTATGATGACTGGTGTGAACATGGATTTGATGGCTTAGTAAAAAATGCCAAAGAGGGTTATTTAAAATGTTTTTACTACATGTACAAATCCGCTTTGAAAATTAAATTTGACGACCATGTCCGATTAATGGATTTACTGGTTAAGCCAGATTTTTCCCAAACACTGAAGAGCGGATTTCAAATGTATATTTTGTTGATGAATGAAACAGTTTTAGATAAGACCGAAAATGAAGCAATTTATTCTGCTGATTGTTCCTCGGATTTATGTGAGAAGTTGGACAGTTTGCACAGGAACTGTTATACATCCACAATAAAGGTAATGGCACTATCATTGGAATCAGAACAAAGTAATGGCGAGGAGCTGCAAACTAAAGGCAATACTATTTTGGAAGCTATTGCCAAACGATATAACTTCACAGTGGATGATTTACATGAAAAATATTTCGCAAATGCCTTGAAGTATGTTGACAGTATAGATGCTCATTTGGATGCCTTGAGTGAGCCCATCTTGCTGCTATATGGTCTAATTAAATTGGGTCAATTTCGTGAGCCATACATTCACATAATAACAGAAAAAATGAAAACAGTTTTCGAACATTGTGCTGATGAATCAAAGGTTAAAGTATTTACTGCCGTTTCCATAGCAATGCTAGACTGGCATAAGACGCTCCGAAAACCATTGAATCGTAGTTCTGAACTATTGCAGGAGTTTGTTAAAGAAGTTATTGAAGCGCATTTGATATGGAAGGCGGGAGCTAATGCAGAGGCAATGCGGTCTTTGGCTACCGCTACTCTTTGTGCCATATCACAGGGGGCAGCTGAAGAAGCACGTTTGGTTCTGCCTGGCTTAGCAAAATATATGCCCAGTCTGTTAGAGGATCAGTCAGTGTCAACGCGTCACTATGCCATCAAATGTCTGTGTAATTTCGGTTCGATACCATTGGAGGATATGAAACCTATAGCATATGGTAGGAGAGAAAATGTTTGGATGAAAAGTTATTTATATAAATATTTTTAGGATGTTTGCAACGCTTAGATGATGCCTCTGCTGGTATAAGAATATTAGCTGTTTCTGTTATTCCAAAATTGGAGCCTGTAGTGGAGGCGAAGGACGAAATAACTGAAAGTACAAATGCTTCTAGAACTGCTATTAATCACGATGTGTGGTTAACATTTGTGAAGCAGAGTATGGATATGTTGTTTCTACACTATGATAATCCAGAAAAACGTTTACAGGCCACAATAAAAGGTAAATATTTTATTTGTCAGTTAAAGCAAATAATGTATTCGATTTCTTCTTTCCATTTACGCAGAAACCATTTTGGAGATGTCGAAGCGCTATCCGGAAATAGCCAAGGACAGTTATGAGCGAACAATGAATTTAACTTACAACAACTTTAATTTAAAAGCGCTTGAGAAGGAACTACCCTTCATTGAATGAATTGCAAATTATTACACATATCGTCAAATGTATTTTAATTCTTGAATACTCTTAGCATTTATTTTTAATAAAACACACAATTTTAACAATAAATATCTTTGAGTATGCTTTTACCACATAGCTCTCTGGACACCCGACAATTTATTGTAATCAGCCAGATGACGCCACACAATACGACTGAGGCGATATTTGTGTACTACACCGCGAGGTCTGGAAGTTAGGGCACAACGTTCACGAACGCGTACCAAACAGGAATCTCTGGGAAATGCAGCAATTTCAGCATCGGCAATTTCTCTTAACTCTACTGGTAGTATGTCGTTCTTCCGCAATGCATTAACGCGCAACCGTTCTTTGGCATGCTCGGTCACACACTTGCGGCGTTTTACATCACGAATCATTTTCCAATCCGCCCATTTGTTGCGAACTTGTTGGAACTGAAATGAGAATAAATGTTAGATTTAACAACTAAAGTATCGGAAATCATACCCCACATCCGGCAAATTGCAATGATTGAGAGACAAAACTTCCAGCTTTAGTCAGGGAATTCATTTTGTTAATTCTTTTTCCTTTTTCCAGATGAGAACTAAATGGATGAGGCTCCGTAACAATAACAAAACACTTAGGTTAGAAATTGGTCAGGAAAACAGCTGACGGCAATGGAAGTGTTGGTAAACGTAAGTGTAGCCAACTTTCAATCGTTGTTCAACACTGAATTACACTGTGGGCCAATTTCGGGAAATTTATTGATATATTGTATAGGCTAACCGCGTGTTTATGAGAGGTAACAAATATAATAAATTTTAGGATAGTACCCTTTCCTAACAATTAACAAATAGGCTTGCACAAACTTTCCAGAATAATCATAAATTTATCACTGAAAACTTTAAAATTACATTTATTAACTCTTAATTGTTTATTGTTGGTCTGTTCCAGAACTGCAAGAATGTAAAAGTTTGTACCACGATAAGCGATTTTCCCTTTATGATATCGAAGAATATTGGAAAACTAGTAGAATCTTGCAGGTACTGGAACAGAGAATGTATTTAAAAAAATTGAGTATTTTTTTCATAATTTGTTTGGGTTTTTGAGTGGTGTTTCTGTTTTGCATTCAAGTTCGCATCGACAACGGAAACCGTTAATACTATTGAAGATTAGCCCACTGGGTCTATTAGATTCCTTAGGAGGATGTGAATGCAGCTCAGTTGATTATTGTTTAGGTATTCCAAAAGATAATGCAATAAATAGCCAAAATTGATTATGAACAATAAGTGTTTATTCACATTGGTTACTTTCTGCAAGGAAAATAATGCACCTTTCAATGGATTATCATAAGCAAATAAAATTTTAAAGTTGTTGGTTGTTTTAGTGTTTTATGTATTCTCGCCTTTAGTATGTAGATTCCAAACCGGATTCAAAATATATCCAGTCGTGAAAAGATTTATTTTTAAACGATAAATTCGTGGTACAATAAGTAGGTAAAGTGGCTTCGTAAAACTACATAAATACAGCCCTGGGACCAAGTCCGCTTTCTGTGTGAACTATTAAAAATGAGATGCAACAAGATATTCTAATGTTTTTGATATTTTCCCACATGTTCAAATACGTTAAAATGGTGAATACCCCGGATTATTTTGTTTTTTAAACATGAGCAAAACTATTCAATGTTCCATTTCCATTGCAAAACTGATTAATATTCATAGGGCGCGTTCCGCCATGTACATTTATTTTAGTCATTGACTTTTAATTTTTTTTAGTTTTTATATTTCAAAACAATAAGTACATACACAAAATTGGCAGAAGTCGGACACACTCAGAAAAAAACTGTAAACAGCTGTAGCTTTACCTTACCTCTATATTGTACTATTGGTAAATCTGGTTAAATAAATTCGGATTAGACAATAAATCCTGATAATGGGAGTTAATTCGGGTGATATTTAGTATCTAAACGCGCTATTGTTTTAGTAAAAACGATGAATACACAGTAGGATAAGTTTGAGAAAGGAGTCCTACAAGAATTGTCTTAATTAACGATAAAAAGCGAAAACTGAATCAAAGTTTTGATTTATCACAAAATGGGTATTTTATTTAATCAAAACATGATTTGTAATCATGTCAAATAATTTTCAAGGTAGACTATAGATAGACTATATGAAAGACACCGTTTTTGTAAATGTATGCATGGCACAATATAACAAGTGTTCTGAACCTGCAAGAATCTATTAATTTTTCTTGACTCGTGAGCTGAACATATCGTAATATTCCATTCGGCAATTATTGAAAAATGATCTCAGGGTAAAGCCATTGAAATTCCAAAAAGTTCAAGAACTTACACCGCAACAGAAAGAAAAAAGACTCAAAAGAGCTAAAGAGTTGCTCTGGTTGGCCGAAAGTGGTGAACTGCCAAATATGGTTTTCTCAAAGAGAAAACATTCGTTGCCTAGCAGTTTGTAAACAAACAAAAGTTTGTTCTGAACCTGCAAGAATCTATTAATTTTTCTTGACTCGTGAGCTGAACATATCGTAATATTCCATTCGGCAATTATTGAAAAATGATCTCAGGGTAAAGCCATTGAAATTCCAAAAAGTTCAAGAACTTACACCGCAACAGAAAGAAAAAAGACTCAAAAGAGCTAAAGAGTTGCTCTGGTTGGCCGAAAGTGGTGAACTGCCAAATATGGTTTTCTCAAAGAGAAAACATTCGTTGCCTAGCAGTTTGTAAACAAACAAAATGATCGTGTTTACTTGCCAAAGAGGTCAGCTGAAAATGTGCACCTTCGGTTGGCCACCGGAACTCAAGCGCCGGCCATTGTGATGGTGTGGGAGCCATAACAACTGATGGCCGCTCTCCGCTCGTATTAATCGACCGTGGCATCAGAATAAATGCCGAATATAATCCTTGGCACGCAAACATTTTGGCCGCAGACTTTGGACATTCCAAAAGGACTCAGCACCATCGCACTCAGCACGCGCCACCCAAAATGGTAACAAAATGAGATTCCTCGCTTCATTTCCAGCGCACAATGGCCACCAAAATCTCCGGATACCAATCCGTTGGACCATTGTGTCTGGAGAAGTTTAGAAAGCAAGGTTGGCACTAAAAAGCACCAAAGTGTCGATCACCTCAAGCAACCGCTTCGCCGGGAATGGGCCAAAATACCACAGAGCAACATTCGGACAGCGTGTGACGGTTTAATTGGCCGTTTAAAGGCCATAATTTGTGACAAATGTGACCAATCCGAACAAATCTAAACGTAAAATTTGATGCTATTTCTGATATTTTTGCTTTCATTCAATAAAATTAAAAAAAAATGTAAAAATAATGGCGTTTGACTTTGTTGCAGTTTTTTTATTTCACCCTGTGTGTATCAAAATAAGTTGTAGTTTTTTCGACAGAAAATATATGTTTAATACATTTGCTCGGTTCCAGAACCCACAAGAATTTAAAAAGTAAAACACGACAGCAAAACTAGTAGATCCTTTGGCTTGTTCCAGAACTTCAAGATTGTAAAATTTTTTACTATGATAACCGATTTTCTCTTTATGATATCGAAGAAAATTGCAAAACTAGTAAATTCATGCTACTGTAGTAGATTCATGTACTGGAACAGAGCACTTGTTTCTTCTTGACCAGGGGCTGGATTCTTGTTCTCTGAAAATATTAAATTATTTTCGGGATGCAGCTTTTCAATTAATTATTGATATGGCTACCTTTTCAATCTGCCTTACCTTGCAGCCAGGAACCATGTGTAGACTTTAGATACCTATCAAATGTCGATTAACCGATTATACCAAAGTCGACTTTTAAATCCCTATTTTCAACCAGAACTGGCAGTGGACACGATTTGCTCGTGGTTCCACATAAAATACATCAAAAGGAAAGGAATATTCAAGTGAACCTGGAAAGATTAGTAGCCACTTGCTCTAGGCGGTCTAAGTGAACCAAGTGCGGATCATCTGGAAAGTATAATTGAGTGTTGGTGTTCTCTTGTCGACATAAGCGTGTTTCGACCGATTGAGTGCTGATTCGCTCGCTTGCTTAAAGTGTAACCGGTGTTCTTCAAGAAAAAGTATCATCGAATAGGCAAACTACGGAAATATGCCTTCCAGCGATCCACTGCCCCCCAAAGAGAGTGCTCTCTTTAGGAAGTTAATGGTACGTTTGCAACAGCAACCGCATATCAAGTAGGCAATCCCATATACTGTGTGTCGCGGTGTTGAAGAAAATCGTTTTGTAAGATGTGCTCGTATTTGCTATTATCGTTTGTGTGCGTGCTGCAAATGCCACCCCCTCCCATTTTCTTAGCTTGGCCAATGTTGTGTATATTGTATTGGTTAAACAGGATCGTAGGACATTGCCAAGGTTAATTGGAATGATGTTTTGGATTAAATAATTTGTTAATGTTTTCTGTTTGCTCAAATTTCCCGTTGAATATTTTGTGCAAATTTATTAAACATAACCTCAAAGTTGAGGGCGATACTGGCCTCAAAACGAAAGCAAAGAACAATAATTCCATTTTTAAACATTCATGCATGCTTGCTTGACACTATTAGTTGTCTGGGACAGATTATTATTGTTAGTTTGTCTTGTGTTCGGTGATGTGTTATGGAAAATAATTAAAAGAAAATGATTATTTTTTGTATAAAAGAAGACATGGAGTTGGAGTTTCAAAACAAACTACAAGTGCAGTTATGGTGTCTTCTATTGTAATCAGTCGTTTCTTTTTAGATCTAGAGTGTATGGGCTTTTAATTACCAGAGTATAGAATTTGTAGCAAATATTTTTTAATAATAATAAGCTGTGACCAAAATATATGTTTTACTTTTATCTGTTCTGTTCAAAAAATAACCAAAGGATTTTAAAGCAATAACTTCGCCGGGTGCATATTGGACATACATATATTTCAGTTATAATTTATAGAAGATGCTAGTAGAATGAATAGAAATTCGAGGGTTTAAAGTAGATAGATATATTGGGAACCTTGAGCAATACGTGAATACTTTCCAAACAGACTGGTAGTAATACAAAAAATGTTGTCTTATATTTAATTATAACTTACGAATATTAACTATCGCGTTTAAATCACTCAACATTATCCATTTATATTTTCAGAAATGTTACGAAATGAAGCAGTACAAAAATGGCCTGAAGTTGGCCAAACAAATTCTCTCAAATCCCAAATACACCGAACATGGTGAAACATTAGCCATGAAAGGCCTGACACTAAATGGTCTTGGTCGCCGGGAGGAGGCCTATAAATATGTGCGTCTAGGTTTACGTAATGACTTGAGATCTCATGTGTGTTGGCACGTCTACGGCCTTTTGCAACGAAGTGATAAAAAATACGATGAAGCCATTAAATGCTATCGCAATGCCTTGAAATGGGAGAAGGACAATTTACAAATTCTCAAAGATTTGTCATTGCTGCAGATACAAATGCGCGACTTGGAAGGCTACAAGGAGACTAGGCACCACTTATTCAAACTACGACCATCTCAGCACGCATCATGGATTGGTTTTGCGATGAGTTATCATTTGCTGGGCGATTTAGAAATGGCCAATAGTATATTGGATGCATTTAATCAATCGCAAACATCTATTGTAAGTCTAACTTATATTTTCAAAGCAATTATCAATAACAGATTTATGCTTTTAGGAACCAAATGATTATCGACACTCCGAACTTCTTTTGTATCAAAATCAAATTCTTGTTGAAGCTGGCAAATATCAGGAAGCATTGGAACATCTGATCAAATACGAAAATCAAATGGTAGACAAATTGGCCGTTCAAGAAGCCATGGGTGATCTGTATATTAAAATCGGTCAACAATCCAAGGCTGTGCCTATCTTTGAGGAACTTATCGATCGTAATCCCGAAAATACCCTTTACTATAGTCAATTCTTTTTGGCTAAACAAATTTCGGATGCTGATCAGAAACTAAGTGCTTTCAAGAAATTCCAAGAAACCTACCCCCGAGCCATGTGCCCCAAACGGCTGCCTTTAGATGTTGCCACTGGTGATGCTTTTCAAACTGTCCTAGATAACTACCTAAGAAGGGGTCTTCGTAAGGGAGTTCCACCACTGTTTGTTAATGTTCGCTCTTTGCACACACAACCGGAAAAGGTTGCCGTCATGGAGAAGCTTATCCTGCAGTATTATGAAAACTTAACTCGCTCCGGCCACTTCTCACGAGAGGATGCTGATAAAAACTTGCCCGTAGAGCCGGCGTCGGCTGTAGTGTGGACGCTTTTGTTCCTGGCCCAACATTACGACTATAAACGTGAAACAGATAAGGCCCTCGAGTATATCAATGCTGCTATTGAACACACCCCAACACTGATCGAATTGTTTATTACCAAGGGACGTATTTATAAACATGCTGGCGACCCTGTTGAGGCTTATATGTGGCTTGACGAGGCTCAAAGCATGGATACGGCGGATCGGTATATCAATTCCAAGTGTGCCAAATATATGTTGCGAGCAAATTTAATCAAAGAAGCTGAAGATATTTGTGGTAAATTTACCCGAGAGGGAGTCTCGGCCATGGAAAATCTGAATGAAATGCAGTGTATGTGGTTCCAGACAGAATGTGCGTTGGCTTACCAGCGTATGGAACGCTGGGGAGAATCGCTTAAAAAGTGTCATGAGGTCGATAGGCATTTTGCCGAAATCATTGAGGATCAATTTGATTTCCACACATATTGCATGAGAAAAATGACAATGCGTGCCTATGTAGGTCTTTTGCGACTGGAGGATGTTTTGCGTCGTCATCCATTTTACTTTAAGGCAGCCAAATGTGCCATTGAAGTTTATATTCGTCTCTATGACAAACCTCTGAAGTCTGAGGAAACGATTGAAGAGATTGACACGGGTAAGTACAATATTAAAATGCCTAATTTATGACGTCTGAAATAATTGAATTACTTTCCTTTTTTTAAAGAAAATCTGCCTCCATCTGAATTGAAGAAACTCCGTAGCAAACAACGCAAGGCTAAGAAGAAAGCCGAACTCGAAAGTGCACAAGCTGCTCAAGCACAAATCAAACGCGAACAACATCAAAAGTCGAAACAACAAGCAAATCAAGAGGCTGATCCCGAGGCCCCACAACTCGATGAACTAATTCCTGAAAAGCTTGAACGTCCCGACGATCCATTGGAGAAGGCCATCGAGTTTTTGAAACCTCTCCAGCAATTAGCCAAAGAACGCATTGAAACACATTTGCTGGCTTTTGAATTGTACTCGCGCAAGAGTAAAATCTTACTTATGATTCAATCGATTAAACGTGCACTCGCTATCGATGCCGGGCATCCGCAAGTGCACAGTTGCATAGTGCGCCTAATACGAGCACTGCCAACATTGACAAAAGATCTAAACGTTGCCGTCAAAACGGTCGTAGATAAAGCCGTTAAAGAACTGATAGGTACTAAGAGTGCTCAGCAACTGAACGACGAGTTCATAGCGAAGCACAGCTCTTCCATAATGCATTTATACGAAGCTGCGCGTATCATGTATGAATTGGATGCTGGAAAGCAAGAAGCGGCCATTAAGTTGATTACCTCATATGATGTAGCTAAACTTAAATTGGAGGTAAGTTGTTGACCATTTAGTATGCGACAATCGACAATGAATCTGTGGAGAAATGAGACTATGTCGACAGTTATAATTAGCATTGGGTTGTAGTTCGTGTTTTAATTATGTCTCAAAATTCAGCATATTTTTATTGAGACTCTTTTTTTCTTGTCAAAACAAAATATATACAGTACGTAATATATACAACATTATACAACATTTTCAACAGCTAAAAATCCTTTAAAATATTTTTAAAAAATTCACATGAAAGGAATTGTGGAAGATGATTTTAGAGATTTCCCTCCCTAAAATTATTTTCAAAAACTCACGCCTTTGGCAAGACTGTAAAATTTCCAGCTGCTGCAATTCAAGCATGCGTCTATTTATTGCACCATGCAATCATAGGATATTTCAATTTTCTCCTACAATTTAATATTCTGGTGAGCTTTTTGGCGTATTTTCGTTATTTACTGTAAGCCCTACACTGTAAGGGGATATCGAAAATATTCTTTAAAAGTCTGGAAGTTTACTGAAATAATTTTAAATACAGTTAATATAATACTATGAAAAATAAACTGAAATTTGACAAAGCGGAGAATAACTACCATTCAAAACGATAAAAAAAGAATATTTTTTGAATTCTTTGACTATTTTGGTTAAAACTCTGCTTGTAAGTAGTCAAGGAACTAGTTTTGCTATTGCGAAAGATCATAAGCACCCAATGTTAAGCTATAGAGTTTAAAATATTTCCAATCATGGAAAATAGTTATTTCTGTCGTTGTTGTGTAAGGGTTTGTTAATCGAAAATGCAAATCTTTATACACCTTATTTTCTTCTATCAAATATCTAATTTGTGGTCTATATGTAATTATTCTCTATATTCTTTTTAATAATACATAAATGTTTTCTTTCTTCAGGACGCAACAAAGATATTTGAATCGCTGCGCGATGGTATCTTTGGCAATTGTGAAGATGCAGTTAAAAACTACAAAGAAACCTGTCATAAACATTTTAAGTACGCCCGTCTATTTCGTGATAATGTAGAAGAAACAACAACAGAAAAAACCACCGAAGAGGGTTCAGATGCCGGTAATCATGTCGAGAAAGCTACTGCAGATTTGTAATGCAGTTGCCAACGCCTCAAAACAATTGCCTGGTTTATCCGCAACAATAACAACTACTATTAGAAAACTACACACGATGAAGAAGGAGAAGAACCGAAACATCAAAACTTTATTAATTTTTAATGTTAACAAATAAATCAATAAAACACTACAGCAACTACTTGACTGGACAAACAATTTTAACACCAAATAAAATACCAGCTACAAAAAGAACTGTGACTTCACACATATATACATACACATCATACAGATTCAAGAAGAGATCATATAAATTAACTATGGAACAAGTGCTGAAACACAATGGGATTGGACGAATTGGCGTCGACATGCGACATGTGGCTGAAATTAACGTCACGGGTTTATGTGGTATATGTTGATGTAAATTCGTAAACCACTACCATTGCGTTTCTCACTGGTGAAAAATGGATGAAAACCAATAAAGCAAAACAAATCATAGAAATCCAATAATAATCTAAGCTTAATTTTAACTCAATATTTATGTAGAAATCAATTGAAATTTTTAACCCATTATTTTGGTGACTATCAGTGATTTATTGGTGAAAGAGAATAGTCGTTTTCATTATGTCGTCTTACACATCACATGTTTTAGTAATTGGAACTATTTATAAATGCTAACTCTAACTCATTATTCGATAATGTCATACAGTTTATTATTTTTTCACCTGACGCTTCCTTCTCCATGTTGGTTAATAATGAGAAAAAATAACATATTTTGATTATAGAGCCTCCTCAATGTTTCCATACCATACCCCAAAACCAAACAACTGTTGCAATTTACACCCCTCCCTCTACTACCAACAAGCATATTGTTTTCAATAGCACATAAATAAAATTCGTAGCAACTGAACGAAATATGGAGATCCTAGCATTACAACATAATCTAACCACACACGCAGAATCCGCAACGTCTTAATTCATATGAAGAACAAACTAAATTTTAATATATTTTATATAAACAACCAATATAAAAACCCTAAAGATGAAAATTATAAAATCAAGAAACAACAAATAAAAATCTATTTCTTAGTTATATGCCAATAATGAAGAAATACGGAATTCAATTGTGTTTTTCATGGTCTCATTAGTTTGGTTTAAATTGTTTTGAAGAACATAGTGACAATTAGAAGCTTTAAAAAATGACACGTTGTATCTTGTCGATACCGATTCATATTATCCAGAGCTTCCATTAAGCGGTTCTATAAAATGCAATATGAAATATAAAAAATACTTTAAATATGTATAAAAAATGTATCAAATGATCAAATGTTATACAAAGGATTTAAAAGTGAGGATAAAGCACTTTCATGAAGGGTTTCGGATTAAAGTAATAGAAACAATAAGGTTATAGCTTAAGCTGTGGATATTAAAGAAATTAGGGAGTATTTTTGTAAATTAGAAGTGTACTTAATCACGATTGTGAGATTTAGTGATGTGGCTTCCTCATCGGATAATTAGTTAACCAAATAATTACATTTATCAGGGGAATCGTTTAAAATTTGCTTAGTAAAGTTTTTAATGAGTCTGTCTTCTATGGCAGAAGACTGCTGGAATAGGCTCATTATTTTTTTACCACTTATAAGGCTGCACCTCCGAATTTGTTATTTGAAACTCGCAATAGATAATAACCACTTTAGCAGGACATGTACCATCGACTTTACGGCATTTTAAGACCGATCTCACTGGCAAAAATTGAAGTGGACCCAATATTCAATCACTATTCTTTTATTTTTAAAGATTTTCTTTGCCTTATGGTGAAGGGTTTTTACTTGTTTTATCTATTTTTGAAAGTTAAGTTTTAAAGTTTGCGAAGGAGCCACTAATCATCATCAGTTTCCATGGTTTTTGTCTGGGGATATTCTCCCCAGAAGTTATTAAAAATAAATTCTATGGCAAGATTTTTTGTTACCGAAGTGACGGGATCGTAAGCTCAATAGAAGATGAGGATTGGTGACTCTTTCCGAAACCATGACATTCCATGGATGCTTTCCACAAGTATGTAGGTTTCTTACTGGCTGGCTGGAACACACGATAACTCTCGAAGGGAGTATCCGATTTGCCAAACTTGGTACATCGGAATATTATTATCAAACTTAGATCGAGTTCGGAGATGGACAATATCGGCCCACTTCTTCTGGTACCTCCACCCAAATGTCGAAATTTAAAAATAAAAAAAATCCTGCGCAGAAAGAAAACGGATAATCCGATTTTGTTGCAACTTTGCAAATTCTAGTATTTGAATCAATTCAGGGTCATGTGAGAAAATGAACAATATCATCCACAAAGTCAAGGGTAAAAATTTTTAATAATTAAAATTCTTATAAAATGTGTTGTAAGAGTCCGATTGTCTTCAAATTAAACACATAACAATATTTTTATTAATCCAAGATCCATTAAGCTCATAAAACGCGAAATTACAGTTGGTTCCATTCAGACTTGGCACATCACAATATTTCCATCAAAACAAGATCTGTTATTAAGATGGTTGAGACCATTCTTTCTTGTACCTCCCCCACAAATGGTTAAAGTTTTGAATAACCAAAATGATTATAAAATCTTCCATTCAGACTTGGCACATTGCAATATTTCCATCAACACAAGATCTGTAATTAAAATGAAAGAGATCGGACCATTCCTCCTAGTATCTGCCCCACAAAGGGCCAAAGTATTGAATATATCATATGTCATTTCATTCCCATGTTTGCATTTTCGGTATTTTATCTTGTTAAATTTCACTGAATAGAAAACAGGTTCCGATCTTTGATTTGTGTATGTACAATGGATTTATAAATAAACACTTTGACAATGAGATATTGTCAAATGAATAATTTTGAAAACATTGTAAACATAGGATTGCATAGCTTTTCCTTCTTAATTCTGCCATGTAAGATCTGAAAAAAGCATCCGGTTCTCTTCATATTTCACACAACCCTTTATTGCTACTAACACAAGATCTACTGTGAAGATGGGATATATTTGTCCATCCCCTCTGGTATCTCACCCACCAAGGGTCAACATTTTGAATATCCAAGGAGGTCATAAAACTCGAAATTAACTAGGATTGAAGTTATACTCAGTGATGAAGCTCATTTTTGGCTAAGCAGAATTGTCGATTTTGGAGTGAATATCAGACAGAAGCATTGCAGAATCTACCAATGCATCATTGAATCGTTCTTCGTTAAGACGCTGCCAATCCTCCCCCACAAAGGGTCAAATTTGGAATAATTATAACTCTTGTCAAATCGGAAATAAGAGTTCGATTGTTTTCAAGTATCACGCACCTCAATATTTTTACCAACACAAGATCTTGTACACAAGTAAATCGGACCACTCCTTCTGATACCTCCCACACAACGGGTCAAAATTTTGAATAATTATATATATCATAAAATGCGAAATAGGCACCCGATTCACACATCCCAACATTTCTACTCACACAAGATGTGTGTGAAGATGGTGGATATCGATCCACTTTTTCTTGCACCTCACCCACAAAGCTGTCAACTTTTTGAATATACATGAAGCTCATAAAAAGCTAAACAAACCAGAGATTATTTTTCTTTGATCAGGTGTGAAGATGGAATATATCGGACTACTCCTTCTGGAACCTCCCACACACCAGGTCAACATTTTCAATAATTATATATCTCATAAGCATCAGATTTTTTTCAAATATCGCACATCCTAACATTTTGGATTACACAAGATCTGTTGTGAAGATGGTAGATGCCTCCACCATAAAGGTCATAACTTTGAATAACAAAACGCTCATAAAAGCGAAATAGACATTTGATTCTCTTTAAATTTCACACATCCCAAAGTTTTTAGTAACGAAAGATCTGGTGTGAAGATAGGATGTATCGCTTCACTTTTCTGGTACCTCCCCTAAAAAAGGGTTAAATAACCAAAATACTATTAAAATGCGAAACATTGATTTCTTCTAAACTTCGCACATTCCAATCTGGTGTCAAGATGGGATATATCGTCCAAACCCTTCTGTTATCTTCCCCACAATGGGTCACGATTTTCAAAATTTATATCTCTCATAACTTGCGAAACAAGTCGGCAATGCTTTCCAAACTTGGTATCTCTAAATATCTCTCTTAACCAATGATCTGAATCTATCGGCTACTTCCTTCTGGTCCTTCCCGACAAAAGATTATGTAGGACATTCCCCTTAAGATGATTAAGATAACTTCTTGTGTGGATTATCAATTCAGCTTTTCAATTTATTATTTGACAACTTGTCCACACCAGTAAATGTTATAGACTAACAAAAATTATTTTTTCTTTTCATTACGAATACATATAAAAGCAAAGTCTACTTTTGTAACATAAAAAAGTCAAAAAGATCTAAGTAAGTAAGCCGAAATTTGGAGGGTATTCAATATTCCATTTGGAACGAATTTGGCAATTCTCAAAAACAATAAAATCCGTTAAAAATTCTGTTAAAATCTTAAAAATACCAAATGTAGCTGTTAAATTAGGGTCTATACGACGACATGGACCTGTATAGGTAACTTTTGTCATATGCCATTACAATATTCAAATGCGAAACTTAGAAAAAATCGGTGAATAATGTAGCTAAAATCATCAAAATACCGAATATCGGGGGTACGTTATATGGGGGCTACGAACTTCAAATACCAAATTTGAAAGAATTCCGGTGAATAATGTCGCTAAAATCATCAAAATACCGAATATCTGGAAGTTCCGTTATAAGGGGGCTATAAGAAGACGTGAACCTGCACAGACAATTTTCTGCCATAGGCTGTAGTATCCATTACGAACTTCAAATACCAAATTTGGAACAATTTCGGTGAATAATGTCGCTAAAATCATCAAAATACCGAATATCTGGAAGTTCCGTTATATGGGGGCTATAAGAAGACGTGAATCTGCACAGACAATTTTCTGTTATAGGCTATAATATACTTTACGAACTTCAAAAAATTACGAAAAACAAAATTGAAACAATTCCGGTGGAACGTCGGAAAGGTAAAATAATCAAAATACCTAATATCTGGAGGTAGCGTTATTTGGGGGCTATACCAAAATGTGGACCTACATGGCCCATTTTCAATACCAAAATTCCTGCAGACATAATATACATTTAAGTAAAATTGTATCAATCTACTTCAATTCGTTCGGAAGCTAGAGTGATTTCCACAGACGGACCGACATCGCTAAATCGACATAGAATTTTATGCTGATCAAGAATATATATACTTTAGACCCCACAAAGTATATAAATTTATATTACGAGGTGTTACAAACGGAATGACAAACTTAATATACCCTCCATATAATGGTGAAGGGTATAAAAAGCATATGGAGAACTGTGATCAATATAAATTTTTGTACTAATATTAGATGAAGTAGAATACTTCGGAGTATGGTTTTATATTGTCGGTCCCCAATTACTTTTGGTGGCTGTGTAGTAAAACCTATGTAGAAAGAGAGAGAGAGAGAGTCATTGACAACGATTTTTGCTTGCTTTCTTTAAGCCTAAGCGAACAGTTGTAAACGAAGTTATAAAAAGTTTAGAATCAGCCAAAGGAACAAAGCTTTAATTACTCCTGTAGAACAGCATGTGATTTTTAAATTATGCCAAATGTGTCTTATGTGTCCTTATTGATGAATATCAAACTTAGAACTGCCTGACGCATGTCAGTAATTATCAATGACAAATCTCGAAATGTTTGTCTTCACCTAATTTGAAATTGTTCGTTTAATATTTTTTTCACTTGTTGTCGAAATATCAATTTTGATTTATGGAAGTCAACTTGCATTCGTTTCTATCCATCTTACATGGCCATACGTTATTGTGGATGTCGATGTTTTGTTAAGTATAATCTGATCCAGCTGTTTGCATCCAACGAGTTTGATATATTTATATTTACGTGCGTACCTTCGATGTGTCATTTGTGTATTAAGGGGCATTACGTGTAGCTTTGATGTGGATCAAGTTCTCAGAGTTGTTAAATTCACGCAAATTTGGGGGATATAACCTGATGGTAATATCAGTTTGAAGATTTATAACAATAGCGAATATGACT